TATATTATGATTCATAAAGGGTTAATTTCTTGTTTGTTATTTTTTATTTATTTTTATCTGTTTTATTGTTAAACTAGTATTTAAATAAGGCCACATATAAGGATAGGGTTTCTTTCCTATTGCAAGTTCTTAGCTCAGTCGAGTGAGTCTCTTGACAAAAGTGCATCTCTCTTGATGAGATAAGTGAGCTCAGAAAAACAAGAGAGAAAGAGCCTATAGTGAACCCAGTTATAGTGGTCCAAGAATAACAAGGGGCTGGGAGCAAAGAGAACTGACAGGCTCAATTCTCCCAGCTAACTAGTTGCGTAAGTTGTAGCAAATCACTTTCTTTTCTGGAGTCTTAATTTCCTTATCTGTAAAATTTTGATCTCTAAGATTCCTTCCACATCTAAAGTTTTATGACTGTGTGCTCTAGAGGGAGAGATTACCACAGTATGAGTAGATAGCAATCTGGAATTTTTAAGGGTAATGAGAAAAACTCCAGATTAGCAGTTAAATGATTCAAACCGAATAATTCCAATAATGTGGAATCTTGCCTGTATTTGCTTTTCTCTGGCAATGGCCAAGAGGTATCACAGTACAGTACTCAGGTATGTTCAGAACCTGAGCCTCAGATCCATAGGTAGTCCTAGATAACATTGGCTGGGTTGCCTCCTGAAATGGGCTTTATCACTCCTGGAGGATGAGACCAGGCTATCTCCAGAAGAAAATCTATGATTCGTGTATCACATGAAGGATTCAGTAGATTTCCACCTGAGAAACGTTCAGGATTCTTAAACTAAGGACTTTGTCCAGTGTGCATTGTGAAGGAAACTCAATCTTCTAGAGGTTACCTATTAGCTACTACCAGAGGTCCTCCAGCTCTGCTTGCTTTTTATTGATAGTGATACAATCTTTATACAGTCTGTGTGGTGATGTTTTGAAGCCAGAATGAGCAGAAAGGGGCATGATACTAAGCTTTCAATGCCTACAGTATTTCATCTGTATGATCATTATTATTATTTACCTGTTGACTCATGCTGTACTTTGTATGATAGCCATCTTAAATATGTCTTATTTGTACTATTATATTTTGAATTCCTGAAGGTTAGAAATACAATCTGATCTTAATGACCTTTGTACTACCTAGTCCATAGCAGCTGTGTAATAAATATTTTGGAATGAAACATTTACAAACATATGAAGAGACCCCAAAATATCTTAGATGGTAAATACTTGGTTTTATACACTTGACTTTACAAACTAGGAGTTTAATTTTTTAAATGGCCAATGGAGACAACTATTGGGTAAAAAATTCTTAATGATCCCCAAAATAATGCTTAGGAAATTTGCAGGTTTTTTTGGTAAATACATTGTCCCATTTTGGCTTCTCCTCCTCCCCCTTCTTTTTTCTGCAAGAGCTTCCATTTTTTTCAAGCGCATTAAATGTCTGTGCACGTTTAACACATCCAATTACGCCTGGCAAAGCTGCTTTCATGGTATATTTTGAGTCATCAGCTGGTACATGCAGTACATTTAGCAATGTGCTTGTCTGAATCACTAATCAACAAAAGTATCCTCCTGAGAAAAATGTATTTTCAGTTATTGAAAGATTGCATTTTCTACTAATAGAGGCTACACAACTGTGACAATTCAATAAATTATGCATAGTGAAAATTATTAGTTGCTTGTCAGTCATACTGCTAAATGCTTTCTTGCCTTTGTAAGAGACCTAGACAGCCTATAATTAATAAGTATTAATAAGTTTTCAAAGCTGTATGGGAATCTTATAATATAATAAACACTGAGGTTAATGAGAGTCAAATGTCTTGATCCATTTGAAGTAGTTTGAATCCCAGAGCTTTATCAAACACATTTTTTTCCCTAAAAATGAATAAAATATGTAAGATTACAAAGTCTATGAAAGCTGGTAAATTCTTATATTTTGTATTTTTTTGTGTGTGAGAACAAAGGGTTATCCAAAGAAATTGGTTAAGATTTACATGACAGAACATCTTTTTGGAACAATAATATTTTAGAAATCAAATCTCACATTGGCCATGCATTTAAGTACCACTTTTTCAAAGGGTTTTGTGTGCAAGGTTTGAGTTGAAGTAGGTAGAAGGCTAGTGTTTTTAACCTAACTGAAGACATGTAGTGCTGGGTGCAGCATCCATCACAGTTTGATTCCCATGGTGATGCTTCCTCTCTCACCACTACTAATTTTTCCTTCCTTCATTTCTTGCAGTGTTCACCACCTCCTTTTGACACATGGTCCAGGCCAGGAAACGTGCCCATTTCCATCACAAGTGATAATCCAAGATAGTCATCAACTCAGGAAGAGGCAATGAGGATTAAGAAATTGTGATACAAGCCTTCCACTCCTTCTTTTGGAAACATCTAATTTCAGTATTTGTTCCCTTATGTGTTCTAGATTCAGTATGGAGGTCCTTAAAAGATAATATTAATTAGTGCATTTTAAACACCCAGAATCCTGTTTGTTTTTACAATCATAGCTACCAAGCTTTGGGAAACTGGCTCCATCAGTTCAAGCCATGACTCCCACATACAACTCTGCATACTTCTTGTCCACATGCCTTTCTTTTTTTTGATGTCTTTAGTTGAAATTTAGAAGTTTATGGCCAATAAATGCTTTGTTTTCCTGAATACACAAATCTGTGACTATATATTGAATAAGTTCTAATTGGCAAATTGGGTTCCAAATTTTCCAGAGACTATTTCAGTTTATCTCTCAATGAACAGGAATTTCTTTAAACAATGGAATTGGAGTATTTTAAGCTCGAAGAGATCTTTGAATTTATGTAATCTAACCTCATTTTAGCAGATAAGGAAAATGGGCAACAGGAAGAGAGTAATTGTTGAAAATCATACATTTGGTTAGTGGCCAGGCTATGACTAAACCCAGCTCTCCTATTGCATTGTTTTGATTTGTTTTGCTTTCCTATAGATTACTACATAATTTTTTGAAATAATATTTGAACCATAAGCTAATTTAAAGTAAGTGGTTCAGAAGGCCCATAGTTGAGAACAGGCTAAATATAAACTTCAAATACACCATGTATTTGAAAAATATTAACTGGGAAGCTCACCCAGTTGTGAAGTGAGAGCTCAGCATCTTTACATGTATCAGCATCGGCCCTTGGAGCTGAGACAGGACACTCTTGGTAAGAAGACAAACATTGCCTGTTGTATGTGTTTGGGGGAAGGTATTTGAAGAAATCTTACATGGAAAGGGCCAACAGCACTTACTCATTTAAAATCTTGGCTTTTCTAATAAATATTTTTGCCCTAAACTCTTACCAAGTGGTACGTTTGTTGATTTTTTTCTTTTGATAACAGTTTTCTTAAAAAAAAATTTTTTTTTGCTCTTTTCCTTTTTAAAATTCCAATCTCCAGTTCAGGCCATTTTCTTGACGTTTGTTTGGGTTTGTGTTTTTGTTTGCTTACTTCTTTCAAATCTAACTGCCTCTGAAGGTGACCCCGATCTCCTTGAGCTGCCACTGGGAGCTCCTCTCCTCCTACCTGCAGGCAGCTCCGGAGTCCTCACATCCCCTTTCTCCAAATACCTGTTCTCCCACCAGAGGAATGTCGTCTTGGAAATGTTAGATCAGCCCTTGACATTTAAGTTCAAAACTGAGATTTCGTTTGCTCTCCTTTTCCATGTAAATACCTTTTTCCTAATTCTGTGTAGCTGTCGATACAGCCGCTATTCTTCCATTTCCCCACCTTCCAAACTAAGAGTTGGTTGATTCCTCTTATCCCCAATATCATTCTGTCTCTGGGTTTTATGAATAATGTATTTCCCACGTCTTTGAGATTGGCTCTTTCTTCACTTTTTCCATGCCATCTACAATAATTCAGACCCTCACCATCTCACCCATGACTCCTGTAACAGCCTCCTAAATGGAATCTCAGATTTCGTTTTATTCCAACGAAACCTTCACACAACTGAACAAAGTAATTTTGCCAATGTGTTGTAAACGAATTAATATTTATCGAGAACCTACTGTGTACCAGGCACACATTAGTCTAATCTAAACACCACCATAGGAAGTTGGTGGTTTGTTATTGTAGTAGTATTGGGAAATTTGTATTGAGCACCTATTATGTGCAAGACACTGTTAAGTACTTTATTTGAATTTAATTCTTATAATAATCTTGTGACTAGGTACTGTTTATCAGCTCCACTTACAGATGAGATTGAAAAACATAGAGAAGTTAAATAACCTGCCCAAGGCCATGCAACTCTAGCAAAAAAGCCAGGATTTGCATCTAGACGTCTGACTCTGGCCCTCAGGCTGAAAACTTTGCACTGTATTAGAACCCTAGTATTAACAGATAAGGATTTTGAGGCTCAAAGAATATTTCAGTCCTCTACTTTCCCCTACTTTTTTATATCATCTTCCGCTTAGTCTCAGCAGATGACCTGGTTTCCTATCTTTTACCCCACTTAGCCCCTAAGTGTTGGCATTTTTCAAGACTCTTTTTTGGCCCTCCTCTCTGTTAACTCTAAAGCATGCACTCTTGACTTTTTTAATCATGGACTCCTTTGCAATGTGATAAAATTTCAGAGTTTCTCTATAGAAAAATGTGCATAAACACAAGTGTCATTCAGCTTCAGGAGGTTTCAGGGTTCCTTTAAAGCCCACACGTGTCCCAGGTGAGGAACACATGCTCTCACACATTGAAATAAGTTCTAGATAAAGATCTAAAGTTAAAATATAAAATGAAACAATAAAAACATTATTGTTATATACAGAACAATTTGTTTCACATATTCTTGGGCTAGAGAAGGCCTTTCGAAGTGTACCATCAAATCCAGAAGTCACAAAGAAAAAGGCTGATAGATTTGACTTTACATAAATTTAAAAATTCTCTAAAAGGTTTTTCCAGCAGTAAAATTTTATGACTTTATAAAAATTCTATAACTATGTTAATGAAGGAGAGCATTGTTTACAAAGTAGAAAATCTCTGTGCAATGTGAACTGTTGTTTTCTTACCTCCAGTGACAATCACATTTGCTTTTATACAGTAACAGAAAGTGTTTGCTCCTCTTGGCATGGAAAACTCTCTGACAGGCCTGGGAAACACAAATTTAACGTAAACCTTATATATTTTTCTTTATGAAACTAATTATAATTTATAAATTATAGATTATAAATTAAAGATTGTGTTTAATAGGTTCACTTTTCAGTTGGTTATAAATCTATTTATACACAGAAAATATTACAAGTAATTATCAAATCCTCACTGACCCCCAGAATCTATTTACTCCAAAAATGTAGTGATATTAGCAAAGCACTTTGTGTTGTTTCTACTTAAGAAAAAAAATCCAGCCCTTCCCCTTGGGGTCGTGGTTGTGCTGGTGGTAAAGATGGACAGAGATATATCATGTTGTAATCCTGAAAGGATGTTGGGTGGCAAATGAGTCCGTTGGGTAGCACATGTGCCAGGAACACATTTGGACACTTCCTCCTCTCTCACCACCCACATCCAACCTGCTATCAAGTCTTCCTGATTTTGCCTCTAAAATATACCTGACATCTCATCACTTCTTTCCGTTCCCACTGCAGTATCTTGGTTCAACCGTCCATCCCCTCTTACCAGAACTATGCACTAAACTGCTAATTTCTTAGCTTCCCTCCCCAAACCCCATTGTCATACTACAGCCGGAGTGATCTGTGTAAAACATGAATTAGATCACACCACTTTCTCTAGTGACTTCCTGAAGCTCTAAGATGAGCCACATTTCTTTACCGGGCTTACCTAACCCCGGTGGTCGCGGTCACCTTTCTGGGCTCATCCCATACCCTCCTCTTCCCCACACTTTATGATCTAGCCACGATGTTCTCATTAGCTTCCTTCCTGGCTGTATGGAGCTTTTTCCCTCCTCAAGAGCTTCTGCACTTAATGGGCAAAGCTGTTCTTCCCCCAGATCCTAATCACATTAACAACCGTCCACCTGCAGGTGTCAGCTTAAATGTTACTTTCTCATAGAGGCCCATTCTATACATCACACTCCTACCCACACCAACTAAATAATGTCTTTTGCATTATTTTCTCTCCAATACCATGTTTTCCCTTAAGGCATATAGCATCCACCATATAATTTTAGTATATATGTTGGCCCATTTTGTCCTTTCTGTAACAAAATAAAATGGAGATACCATGTGACTTTGAACATAGAAGGCTCCCAATAAATATTTGTTTGAATACCCTTAAGGGACAAATACCCAGTTGACAATACCATTTTCCAGAATCTCGAAGAATAGAATTGTATTGATTCTGCAAATTCCCTCTGACTTTTTCTCTAGCACTCTTGATATAATAGCACTTTTGAAAAAGAAACATTTTCTTTTTTTTCCCAGATTACTTATTTATTTATTGTCGAAGTCAAAACTAGAATTTAGCTCCCACAGACATCACTCAATTGATGTGCCTGCTTCCATCATGCCACATAGAAACAGAAGGAAAACTATTTTTCCAGAAATGCCCATGCTTATAGGCCTTTGGGGAAAATGTAGAAAAAGCTTTACATTGAAACTATAGACACTATGAAACTAACAAAAAAGTCCAAATTGACTTTTTAAAGCTTGCTTTGTCCATATAAAATAATATTAGTTAGGGGCATATTCACACAGAGCAAAACATTTTATAAATATCATTCACTGGTGTGAATACTGATTACATATTTTCATAGCAACAATTAAATAGATGGAAGTTCATCATTGGTTTTGCCTTTCTTCCTGAAATTAGGCAAATCAAAAAAAAATAATTTTATTATTAGTTTCAAGTATACAGTACATTGGTTCGACATTGATATAGTTTATAAATTGATTCTTCTGATTGCTCATTCTCTCCTCTGGCTCTCCACCTTGCCATTATATTAGTGCTGACTGCATTCCCTCTGCCATGCTCCCCCTCTTGGTGACCATCTATCCACTAATTTGTACTTGAAAAAGAAACATTTTCTAAAAATTTCTTCAAAATATATATAAAAAAAAGACACTCTACTGTCAAAAGACCTTGCCTGAATCACAGCATATTTCATCTCGGTTTTTCCTTCTGTGTGACTCATATTCGCGAGCTCTAATCCAGAGGGAAGCTGGGTCATCAGAGGGAAGGTAAGGAGATAACTCTACAGGGGCATATGCTACGTGATTGGGGTTGTTTACTGAATGTAAAGTGATGCCTAGACATGAAGGCATTCCACGGGGACTGTGAGCTTGCTCAAGAACAAGGGCCACTGAGTAAGCCTTGGGCCCTGCCATCTTTTCTCCCTTTGGTCATGGGAGTAGTTTGTGGGAGCAAGGGCAGAGGACAAGGAAGAAAGAATTTTCATTTTCTCCTTGATGATGTGGAGTAAGAAATTTCAGGGTTCCTCAGGTAAAGGTATTTTTTTTAATTGGTCCTCACTCTGGATTATCAGGTGTCATTGATCCACATTGTGTCCATTCCTAAGGGGCAAGGGAAGGTGTCGTAGAAAACTCTAGATCAGGAGTTGGCAAACTCTTTCTTTAAGGAACTGGATACAAATATTAGACTTTGCCATATAGTCTCTGTTGCCACAACTACTCAACTCTGCTGATGTGGCAGGAAAATAGCCATAACTAATATGCAAATGAGAAAGTATGGCTGTGTTCCCATATGACTTCATGAGCAATAAAATCTGAATTTCATATAATTTCCATGGGTGATGATATATTATTTTTCTTTTGATTTTTTCAATCATTTTAAAATTTAAAAACTATTCTTAGTTTACATCTGTTACAAAAACAGATGGCCTGCTGGGTTTGGCCCCTGGGGTTTTCTGACTCCTGTTCGAGATACAGGAACATGAAGCCCAAACCAGTACAGGCCTATAATAGCTCCACCTGTTCTCCGTATCCAAATTCTTTTTTTAAAAATGCTTTTTTAGTATCTTCATTAAGGAAAGAAAAGAGGAACTCACATTTTTTCAGCAGTATGTGTGAGACGTTAAGTCAGGCACTTTATGTGAGTTAACTTAGGTAATTTTATAAGACTATAAGGTAGGTATATTTATTCCCCTTTAAAGATGGAAAAATTGAAGCTGAGAAGAGCTAATTGTCACAAAACAATTGAGAAATTCAATTGTCACAAAACTGGTGAGCGCTAGGACAAAAACCAGTTCTCTCTGGCTCCAGAGCAACCCTACCAAGGGGCACCGTACACTTTCCAATCTGCCTCTGAGTTGGATAACTGATAAAAAGTAATGCCGAAGAGGGAAAGCAGCTAGCGTTGATATGCTGGCTAGGTGGAGGCCAGGAGAGGGAAGGAGTGATTGGGGGGATTGTTTTATGAACTATATAGATGCCTAACCAATATACCGTATACTTGAAACTAATTTAAATAAATTTTTTAAAAAAAATAACACTATAAAAAAAAAAAAAGATAATGCCGAGCAGTTATTTGTTCATTTCCTGGAAATTGTCAAGCTATTGAAGGGTTAAAGTTTCAGCATATGTCTTGCAACAGGCCAACATACTTTACATGGCATAATTAACTACAGGTTTTTATTTTCTTGCTGGCACAAAACTCCATTTGTGAAATTGTCATGCAGAATTATAACCATAATAATAATAATTTTTGAAATGGAAATTTTTTGAGAGTTGTTTTTTTTTTCTTCCCAGCCTTATAGGGAACTGTGCTGGCTCCCTTTTAACAGCTGGCCAATTACATATGAGTATAAATGCAGTTTCATCTGGTTCAGCTCAAGACTCATTATAGGAAATTACAGACATGGGAATGTGTTGACTCTGGGGATGGAGCAGACCTGATTCCCCTATTGAGATAATGCTCCAGTGGCCCTGGTGGTTCAGGAGGACATGATTGCTCTGAATCACTTGAGAACTTGCTTTAGCTGCTGGATTTAGGAGGAGACTGGCCCAAGGAAGCAGCTGGAAAGCTCAGTCAGAATCCGACTGAATAAATCAATGATCACCATTTGCTGAGGCTGTCTGAGTGTTTTTATTTCACAGTTTCCTGACTCCCTTGGGCTGAATGTATCATCAACCAAATTCCAGGAGATATGGTAAATACTAGGAAGCTCAAAATTGGGCTCAAAGACAAACTCCTTATTATTGCAAAATATATGCTTTTCAAAGCAAAGCAGAAAGTACTGGCTAGTTGGAAAAACAGAACCTTTTAGATAATCTGAGTGTTTATAATTACTAAATACCAAATTTATGGAATACGACAGAGAGTAGAACTGGCACTATCTGATCCTTAAAGATTATGGGGTCAATTACATCTTGACGAAACTGGAAAAAAAATAAAATAACTTTTTTTCCTCCCTCCCAAAAGGGATTTGAAGGGTTGAAGGAAGAGAAGAAGTAAAAGGAAGAGTGGGTAGAATATTTTAGGCACAAACATGTACAACGTTCCATCATGGGGCATCCAGAGAGCAGCAAGAAGTTCGGAGTTATAGGAACCTAAGTACAGGCAGTGAAGAGCCGTGAAGAGAGTGAGGCGGAGAGGATTTGGGGCGCCAGACTATGGAAGTGCTATGGTAGGGGATGAAGAAATGTGAAAGGTTTTGAGATGGTCGGATATCATCTTCATACTCTGGAAGATAAATAGACAATAGTTTTGGCAGGGATAAATGTGAGGCAAATAAATAGTTAGAGATAAGAGCCTAGAGGGATAGAGGTATGGAAGATAAGACAGATTCAACAAGTGTTTATAAGGCAATATAGACAAATTTGGTGATTGATGTATTATGGGGCATTGAGGGAAAGAAAGGAGTCATATGGGTTTATAACATTTGCTGTTTTCCATGGTATATATATTCCTATCATGGCTGATTTCATACTAGCACTGTGGCATCTCTGAACATGGAGTTGGGAAAAGATGTACAGTCGCACATCATTACTTCTATGTTCTCGAGGGCTTAAAACCCTCAAGAACATAGATAATAGTAAAATGTAGTAAAATAAACAGGACGTGATGAGTTTTAAGTGTATATTGCCTATGTTTTTAATATAGTTGAATTGTGAGCTTATGTAATTTACTTTTTTAACGATGGCCGTGTTTAACGAGTGTGCCAAATTCCAGAAAGCTTAGCAATCAACTTTCATGAGCTGGTATGATCTGGCTTCAGCATACCACTGATTTTATGTTTGTATTTCTTGTCTTTCACTTAGATTTTAAGCATTTAAAGACAGGGGTTATGACTTAAACATATTTATATTGTACACAGTGCTTAACGCATAGTGGCTTAGTAAATATTTTTTGAATAACTGATAGACTCCTTGATTAATAGCTGAACTGCATGTCCTGCACAGTTTTCTGGTTGTCATATTAACTAACTATTAGAATTACCCTGGTAAGTGTACTAGAAATATTTGTGCTGCTAAAAATATGGTTGTATATTTGTGTATCTTGGAAATGAAAATCTTTTTTCTGGTTGTTAAAGTAGAATATGTATCTTCTATTGGAGCACAAAAAAAAATATTTGCATATGCTTTTGCAATGTTTCTTTATGGTTATAAATGTATCATGATTTGCCAACATAGTATAAAACCAAACTAGAAATAAAGTTGCATCTACTTCTTAATTAAATATTTCAGAAACTCATTCCTTTGATACTTCAGAGTGTAATCACTGGCAGTTAATTCTGTTACAGAAACTAAATGAAACTCCACAATTAATTATGCCATAGAAATGATATTTGTATAATCAGATCTGGTGTTAAGAAATGATTTTTAAATTACCATGAAAAGTTTTTAATTCATTTCTCAGTGCAATATGTTACACACTACAGTAAGGTAAACATTTTCATCTTTTTCTAAAAAAGAAAAAAAAAATATGTTCATTGTTGGGATTGAGTGATGACTTCCAAACTCCTTATAGGCCATACTAGAAATTGGAAGTCTCAATGCATTTTTAAAAGAAAGCTTTATTGAGGTATAATTTACATATAATAAAATTTACCTGTTTGGAAGTATTCAATTTAATTATAATAAACATACAGAGTTGTGTAACACTCACCCTAGTAAGTTTTAGAATATTTTTATCACTCCGGAAAGGTCCCTTTGCCCACTTGGGACCCCTGCTTCCACCTCTCTCTTAGATATCTATTGATCTACTTTCTGTCTCTATAAATTTGTCTTTTCTGGACATTTTATTTCAATGGAATCATCCAATATGTAGTCTTTGATGTCTAGCTTCTGGCACTTAGCATAAGGTTTTTGAGGCTTATCCACATTGTTGCATATATCTTAATGCATTTTTAAAACTGAAAATTAAAATACAATAGCTCTTTTATAGTTACTATATATTTACTATTATCACATATTAATATAACTATTAACATACAGTTGCTGCATATAATATTTATTAATAAATATTTAACCATGCTTTTCAAATTCAGCTGTCTATAAGAAAGCTACCTTGTGTATTTATTACACATGGAATGTGATGATTGTATTGCAGATACTCACAGGCTATTGGTTAGCCAATTGATCTGTAAAAATGATTTTAAAGATATAGAGATTTTAAAAATATATAGTTTTACCAATAGAACTCTATTTGGAAAATATAGTTATAGATAACAACTCTATTGATTTATTGCAATAGATTTTACTATAACAAAAAACAACAAATGAGCAAAATTGCCAGTAGGATGATTCATCATGTTATAATTTGCATCATTAACATCAATTTCCTCCTAAAAATCTAATTAATTTTGTTAATAGAATAGAATAATTAACATTTGATTTTTCTAAAAACCAGTTTGAAAGCTCAAAGTCTGTCATGGGGTTATCAGTTATAAAAAGCCTGAAAGTCACAGAATATTCATATACATAAACTATTGTACTTACAAATTATCCTCCAGTCTCTTCAAGGATTCCAAAACTAACGAATGAACACTGTCTAAAGAACAGGATCCAAAGCAATTTAGGGCTGAAATATATCTAATTTTCATAACCCAGTCATTATGTAGCTTCCTTTTCACACTGGGAATTAAAAGAAAAAAAGGAAGGGTTATGTTAGACACACAGACACATCATGTTGAGTGTGTATTTGGCATTTCATTTTGAGTTTAATCAAACTGCAGTTGAACAGAGGTAAAAATTGTAATATATAATACTGTCCTCTGCATTGTCACTTTTAACTATTTAACTAAATTTTCATCACCTAGCTTATTTAAAATGGGAAAAAAAAGGTTATCATCAAATATTGATCTATAGTTTTAGACTTTAAAAAGTAATATAGAAGAATTTCAGTTCACTATTGGAATTACGTTTTTACTAAAAAAATTCTGGTCATCCACATGAAGAACTCTGTTTCATATTGTTTTATATGTTACATGAGCGTGGAGAGGGAGATTATTTTTCCATGCCAGATTGTGTTAAATTTTGATCTCTGTCTACTTCTTTCTTTGAGTTGCACAGTGTTTTGCATGCCAGTGTTTGCTGCTCACACTCCCACTGCCACCCATTCAATATGAATGAGTTAAGTGGATGTCAAATGCAGGAAAACTTTAATAATGGCTCCAGAATTCAATTATCATTTGACTTTAGTACATTTCACCCCCATTTGGTTAGAGGATTTTTTGGTGTAGGAAAATGCCTCAACACTCAGCCTATAAATACACTTCATTGTCTATGGCCATGCTACCCTGAACAAGCCCGATCTTGTCTAATCTCAGAAGCTAAGCAGGGTTGGGCCTGGTTGGTACCTGGATGGGAGACCACCTAGGAAGACCAGGTGCTGTAGGCATAAAAAAATAAAATAAATAAATAAGGGATTGTAAACTGACAAGGTCCTTGCAATCTGTGAGGTCAACCAGGGGTTGCCTCGCCTAAAAAAAAAATACACTTCAATCTTGAATAATTAAATCATGTACATGATGCTCATCTATATGATTCAATCATCCACATGCAAGTAATCATCCATAAGAACCAACGTAAACTAGTATTCATTTAACTATATCCAGATTCCTCAGATTCCTCAGATCCCCTATCATATTTCTATCATATCTGTCTAATAGAAACAGGGATGGAAAATAGGCTATGGAAATTTCTGAAAGGTTTTCTGACATTTTCTCACATTTCAATAAGGAGAAGAGTCATATCTCAGCATCTATTCTAAAAGCTTATCATAATTAGAATGAAATGGTTGATAGTATACAGAGCAGCACATTTGATATTAGGAAAGCTCCCCATCAGAATCTAATACTTTGGTGGAACTAAATACTACTACTCATATATGAAAGCAGTAAAACGGAACCAGATACTTAATTATTGTGTTGTTCTTTGAGTTCTGGCAATGGACTAACCTTAATTCCTTGTAGTAACCATTATAATAAGCTTTTAATTGTATATTCTAACTCTGAGATAAAATATTTGTTAAATTAATAAAGTACAATCCTGAATTTTTAGGTTTTTTATAACTCTGTGTTATAATATGTTTTACATTAATAACAAAGTATAACCCTATATATTTAGAAGTATTTTTTCTTATCTCAAAAATTTCATTGAACAAAATTTAGAATGTAGTAAAACATAAAGAAAAAAATAAAAATTACCTCTCTGAAGTCCCATAGAAAATCATCATTAATATTTTTAGATATTCACACTCAATATTTTTCTAAATAGAAATACAGACAAACACACACAATCTATAAAACTGAATTCGTTTGGAAGGGTAAAATGGTGCAGACCATAGAGGCTTTGTTCATCCCCTCTTGTCACATCAAAGGTGTGACAGAACCATAGAGCAAAGAGCAAGCAGAGTCACCTGGGAGTCTAGATGAACAAAAGCCCTACAACTAGGGACAGAAATAAAACATTAACCTGTAACGATAGAATGTAGGAGGGGGCGAAGACACAAGCTGCCTGGTCTTGAGCAGCTGAGTGGGGCAGAGGCTGTGGCAGGTGCAGACACCTCTTAAAGGGGCCGTGTCTGAGACTGGACTTACAAGGTGATAGACTTGCTTGCTCTGAGCACCAGCGCCCGTTAGGCTGCATAGGGGGCACCAGGGACCTACAGGGAGACACAGAGTTGTCTGAGTGAGGGCCGAGGCGAGACTCCCTCTGTACAGAAGTGCCGGCAGTATCCATTGTCCTTCTGTGGAGCCCTCCCCACTCTCAGCATGTGGATGCAGCACCACCATAGCTGAGACATCATCAGACTGGGTAACAGAGGTCACTCTATCTAGAGGATTCCCTGAAACTCCACCTCCCCCAACTCCCAGCCCTACCCAAGCCACATCTAGATGTGTCCTCGGTAAGTCCTGTGTCCCTTGCTGGGCAGCTCGAAGACCCACAGTGGTGGCAGCTGACCTCGGTTTCTGGCGTGGCCTTTTAAGGCAACTATAAGCACAACATCTGTGGATTGCTTGTTGAATCTTAACAGGTGGCCCCGGAGGGACACAGGCTGGGGCTAAACTTGGCCTGCAGCTCAGCCCTCTCAGGACTGTGCCACTGGACACCTATTACACAAAGCCACACTAATAAGACCAGGAGACTTAGGAGCTTTGCTTAGTACATAGAAACAGACACAGCCAAAATGGGAAGACAATGAAGCAGAAATCATATGAAAGAAGAGAACAAAGATCAAGGAAAAATGGAGTCAAACAATCTAACAGATGCAGAGTTCAAAACACTGGTTATAGAGATGCTCAATGAACTTAGGGGAAGGTAGATGACCTCAGTGAAAACTTAAACAAAGAAATAAAAAAACAAAAATGGAAATGGAAATGATAAAAGGGAATCAGTCAAAAATGAAGAATAATTGTCTGAGATGAAGAGTATACTAGAAGGAATTAACAGAGTGGTTGAAAAAGAGGATCGGACCACTGATAAAGAGGATGAGGAAGCCAAGGACACTTGATCAGAACAACAAGATAAAAGAAGCCAAGAATATCATAATAGTTTAAGAAGCCTATGGGATGAGATTAAATGTAAAAACGGCCCTGTCATATTGGGTACCTGAAGGAGAAGATGGAGAACAGAAAGTTGAAAAATTATTTAAAGAAAAAATGATAGAAAATTTCCCTAACCTGTTGAAGGAAATAGACAAACAACTCTAGGAAGTGCAGAGAGTTCCCAAAAAGATGACCCCCAAAAGGTCCACATCATAATTAAAATGCCAAAGCTTAAATACAAAGAGAGAATCTTAGAAGCAGCAGGAGAAAAGCAACTAGTTACCTACAAGGGAGCACCCATAAGACTGGCAGCTGATTTCTCTAAAGAAAGTTTACAGGACAGAAGGGATTAGCAGGAAATATGCACAATGATGAAAACCCAAGATCTAAAACCAAGACTACTTTATCCTGCAAAGCTATCTTTTAGAACCAAAGAACAGATAAAGAGCTTCCCAGACAAAAGCTAAAGGAATTCATCGACACCAAGCCAGTATTATAGGAAATGTTGGAGGGACTTTTTTATGAAGAAAAAACATGTATCAAAAACAGGAATAAAGAATGATAATAACTACATTCCTATCAACAAGTACTGCAAATTGAAAAGAATTAAGTACTCCAACAAAAAGATAGAGTGGTTGAATGAGTAAGAAAACAAGAGCCTTATATATGCTGCCTATAGGAGATTCATTTCAGAGTTAAAGACATACCCAGAACAAAAAGAAGGGGCTGGAAAAAGATATTGCCTTGCTGGACCTAAAGGGTATTGTGCTGAATGAAGTAAGTCAGACAGAGCGACGAATGCCACATGATTTCGTGTACATGTGGAATCTAAAGAACAAAATAAGCAACAATGACAAGAATGGAGACAAACTCATAGATACAGAGAATATTTTGAGAGCTACTAGATGGGAGGAGGGGTGGGAGATGGTGAAAAAGGGCAGAGGGATTCCGAAGTACCAATGGATAGTTACAAAATAGTCATGGAGATGTAAAGTGGGTACTGGATTTAGTGGGGCGATCACTTTGAGAATTGTATAGATCTTTAATCACCATGCTGTACAACTGAAACTAATATACTATCGTATGCCAACTGTAAGTGAAAAAAACTCATTGAATTGTACAATGTAAATATGAGCAACTAATTGTCTATTACATCTCAATAAACCTGGGAAAAATAAATAAAAATGAAAATATAAAAAACTGAATTCGTATGTACATAAAAATTAAAAGTTGTTTTACTTAATATTATATTATGGACATTATTCATATTATATATTTTTCAAAACATAATTTAATGAGGAGAACATGGCATTCCCTAATACTATGATTCATTGAATGCATCTGATACCTTAAATATTTTTACACATCTGATGAAACATATATTTTACATGTAAATATATTCCATGTGTGTGCCCATGTTATAAAATATGTAAATATATATTTATATAACATTATATTTTACTATATATTATACATTTATGTAATATCAGAATTATTTATTTAAATTATTAATCATTCAAATTAACCATTTCCCTATTGTTGGACACTAGATGTTTTACCATTAGAAATAACATTGTGATAACAATACTTATATTTTTAAACACATTGGGATCCAAGGTCCCAATGTATAAATGTTTATTGAAATCCTTGACGCATCTGCCCAAATTGTTTTCCAGAAAGCAATTCAATCCATAACTTCCACCACCAGCAGTATGTTAGAATACCCATCTCAGAGCCTCTTCTTCACTTTTAATCTTCTGCAATTTTATGTGAGAAATTATACTGATTTTAAGTGAGGTGTTTTTTTGTTGTTGTTGTTAATAGAGAGGATATACTTAATACAATTTTATTTCTGCTAATAAAAGAAATATAAGCCTTAGTTTAAAAACTTCAGAGACACTACGATTCTAAATAAGACAATAAATATCACTCATAATCTCATCAGTTGGAGAGAATTGTTGTTAGCATTTTTGCTTGATGATCATTTGGAAATGTTTATTGACCATTTGTACTGTGTGTGTATGTGTGCAGATTATCTGTTCATGACCTTTGCCCATTTTTCTCTTGGGGAATTATTGTTTTTAAACTGAATATTAATTCCTATTAAAGAGTATTAACCCGCTGTTTATCATATTTGTTATAAATATTTATTTCAATTTTTTACTTAAAAAAATTTTTGATGCCCAGAAAGTTTTACTTTGTGTAGAGTCAAGTCTATCAAATTTTTTATTTGAATTCTGTATCTATTGCTTTTGTTTAGAATCTTTTTCTATATTCAAGTGCTAGTAAATAGTCACATATACATTTTATGGCTTTTTCATAATTTAATTTTTTAATTTAACTCTTACTTCATTCACAAAACTATAGATTCTATAGATTTTAATTGTCAATAGCACTTAAAATAGTAATCTCAGTTGCTAATTTTCCTGTCTGTCTTCTCTATTGGAAGTAACTTGAGGTAAGAGGCATTCCTTGTTCAGTTTGTATTTCAAACTGTATTATGGTGTCGGACACATTGGGTTTTTTAAATTATGTTTTAAATATTTTTATTTATTTTAGTTATAGTCAACATACAATATCACATTAGTTTCAGGTGTATGACACAGTGATTAGACATTTATATAACTTATGAAGTGATCACCCCAATAAATCCAGTACCCATCTGACACTATGCAGTTATTACAATACTGACTATATTCCCCAAGCTAAACTCTCATCCCCATGACTATGTTGTAACTACCAATTAGTGCTTCTTAATCCTTTCCCCGCTTCACCTATCCCCATACTCCCCAATCTGACGACCATCAAAATGCCCTTTGTATCTGTGACCTTGTTTCTATTGTTCGTTTATCCTGTTCTCTAGATTCCACATATACACTGGTCTTCCTTAGTCTGACTTACTCCACTCAGCATGATATGCTCTAGGTCCATCCATGTTGTTGCAGATGACAAGATTTCATTCTTTTTTGTGGCTGAGTAATATTTCATTTTGTATAAATACCACCTCTTCTTTATCCATTCATCTACACCCAGGTGGCCTCCATATCTTGGCTATTGTAAATAATGCTGCAATAAACATATGAATATACATGTCCCTTCAAAGTAGTGTTTTAGGTTTGTTCAGATAAATACCCAGAAGCGAGATTACTGGGTTCTGCTTTGTCTCTTACTATAGTCTTTGTTTTAAAGTCTATTTTGTCTGGTGTAAGTATTGTTACCCCAGCTTTTTTGGTTTGTTTGTTTTCATTTTCATGAAACACTTTTTTTCATCCCTTTACTTTCATTCTGTGTGTGTCTTTCGATTTGACTTGTCTCTTGTAAGCAGCATATTTAAGGGTTTTGTTTTCTTATCCTTTCAGCCACCCTATCTTTTGATTGAAGCATTTAATCCTTTTTCATTTGAAGTAATTGTTGATAGACATGTAGTTATTGCCATTTTATTTTTCATATTTTTTATCTTTTTTCTTCTTCTTCTTAAAGAAGTGCCCCTAATATTTCTTGTAATAGCTATTTGGTGTTGATAAACTCTTTTAGCTCTTTCTTTTCTGGGAAGCTTTTTATCCATCCTTCAATTCTAAATGGTAGCTTTGCTAGGTAGAGTAATCTTGGTTGTAGGTCCTTGCTTTTCATCACTTTGGATATTTCCTGTCAATCTCTTCTGGCCTGCAAAATTTCTGTTGAGAAATCAACTGACAGTCTTATGGGAGCTCCTTTGTAGGTAACTAATTGTTTTCTCTTGCATTGTAATTATAATATGTCTTGATGTGAATCTCTTTGGGTTCAAATTTTTTGGGACTCTGCACTTCCTGGAGTTGTATCTCTGTTTTGTTCACCAGGTTAGGGAAATTTTCCCTAAACCTGGTGAACAAAATTGAATTGAAATAGGTTTTCAATTCCTTGCTCTCTCTCTTCTCCTTCTGCTATCCCTGTGATGTGAATGTTGACATGTTTGATGTTGTCCCAGAGGTCCCTTAAACTATCCTCATTTTTTTAATTCTTATTTCTTGTCGCTGTTCTAATGGGGTGTTTTCTGCTATCTAATCTTCTAAATTGCTGCTTCAGTCCCCTGCTTCAGTCCCCTGCTTCATCTAATCTACTGTTAATTCCTCCTAAGGTATTCTTCATTTCAGTTATTGTATTCTTTATTTCTGAGTGTTTTTTTTTTTATATTTTCTATCTCCACTTTTATGTTTTCTATCTCTCTGTTAAAGTTCTCACTGAGTTCCTCTACTCTTCCCCTAAGATTATTGAGCATCCTTATAAACAGTGTTTTGAACTCTGCATCTGGTAGATTGCTTGTCTCCATTTAGTTGAGTTCTTTTTCGGGATCTTAATTCTGTTCTTTATTTGGGCCATGTGTGTTTGTCTTTCCATTTTGGCTGCCTCCCAGTGTTTGTTTCTATGTATTAGGCAGAGCTGTTTTATCTCATTGTCTTAGCAGAGTGGCCTTATGTAGTAGGTATCTTGTGGGGCCCACTGGCATGGTGTCCCTGGTCACCTGCTCCAGGTGCCCCAGGTGTGTTCCTTGTATGAGTTGTATGTGCCCTCCTGCTGTAATTGGGCCTTGGCTGGTGTTTGCTCTTTAATGAAAGGAATTGACCCTCACACTGATTGGTTATGTTGACTAGCAGTGACCAGTGGAGAAGCTGTTTTATAGGGTCTGACCCTACAGAATAGCATTCGCTTTAACAGAGCTTTAGTGCTTGCCTTGTTTGCCCTTTTGGTATGTTGTCCTCAGGTGACCCCGGGTGGTGCTCTGGCTGAGCACTGGGCACGCAGGTTAGGGCCTCCTGGAAAGGGCCCTGCCACAGGCTAAGTTCAGCTGCAGCCTGTGCCCTGCCTGGGTCCACCTGGCATGAGCCACCAAGCAGTCTGCAAATGGCTGCCACTATGCTGGGCTTGGAAGTGCCTCAAGAGACTGATCCAGGAACCAAGACCAGCTGCCGCTAGTGCCGGGGTTGGGACTGCTCAGTAAGAGGTATGGAGCACACTGAGGCCATATGCTGCTTGTTTAGGATCTGTGAGCCTTTGAGAGATGTTAAGAAAATTTGCAGCATAAGTCAAGACAGGCCGTTTGTATGGAAAAGCCAATGGAAATGGCTTGGGTGGGCCCACACGTTGGGAGGGGTGAGGTCTCGGGGAGTCACTAGGGTGGGTTGACCAGTGTTAGCTACATTGATGGGGACTTAGATATGATGGTTGCCAAGGTCTACAAGGCACATGAGGAAGGGCTCAACAAAGGAACAATACCTTCTACCAGGACTTCTGTCTGGGAGAGAACTACCACTCCAGCCCTCAACCTGAAGCCAGACAATCAGTTCCTCCCCACGTGTCCCTGGTGCTCCTCAGGGGAGACTCTGCAGCTATTTCAGCCACCATTTGCAGGAGTGGGACCAGGTCGTTTTGTGTCTTTGCCTTCCTACCAGTCTCGAAGTAGCCTCTTCTGTGTGTTCTTCATTGCATGTTATGTAGTTCAGTTGTAATTTTTATGTGGTTGTAAGAGGAGGCAGGTAGAACATTTACCTGCTCCACCATCTGTCTGGCACATTATTTTTATTATATAAATCCTTGAACAATGTCTATATTAAATCCATTGAACTACCCATGTAATACTCTTACCTTTTAAAGTTCTTCGAGTCTAAGATCTGATTTTGTGATTTTTTTTTGGATTTTGCCTGCTTTAATCCAAAGTCATCACTGTTTACTGTGAATTTGTTCACAAAACCACCATCATCCCCCAAGAGGATGTCATCTCGGCAGAGATGGTCAGGCAGAGACACTACACACACACAAAGGAGGCAATGATCCATAGGCTTTATGACAAAATAGTTTTCCTAGAAATAGAAGAATACTTTTAATAAGTTATCACATTGCTCTAAATATCTAAGTATTAAATTTAAATATTATCCCTATTATTTAATAAAAGTTTTACTTCTGATGTTTCTCACTCTAGACACTCCCAAAGGTTAAAGGGCTTGAAAACAAAGTTAACCAAGTAAAAGTTAATGAATATTCACTGTGAGCCCAACATTGTGTTTTGAGGTGTTTTGGGGAGGAAATGGTGAGGTACCTACTTCTCTCTCAGTAGTAATGAGATTTTCCCAATGTAATACTGTGAATGTCCCTGTCTTGGATTTGTAAGGCAATATTAACAAAAAGCATAAAAGGTCTGACCCTGACTACTTAATGACTGGGTTATAAGAATTAGATATATTTCAGTCCTAAATTGCTTCGGATTCTGCTTTTTGGACAATGTTTAGACCATTGACATAAAATTGGATGATAAATAGGTAAATCAAATATTACAGTCCCAATTATTTTACAAGGAGTTAGTTATCTGGAGAAAAATATCCTAATACCCAAGTTTATACAGAAATGTTCAACAAGCATTTGTCTAGCTGACTCTGTTATTAAATTGAGTTCACTAAGCTATACAGCGATTGCTCTCCTGGAACTCAGTCTCTATTTAAGATAGAAGAAAAAATATTTCTAAAAAATTTAATTTGTTTCATTCCCTGCAGAATGAGTAAAACTCGAACATATTTAGAGGTTCATTCAGTCATTCAACAAATATTTATTGAGTACCTACAATATGCCAAGAACTACTCTAGGCACTGGCCATACCATGATCAACAAGACAGGTTTCCGACTTTGTGGGCTTCCATTCTAGTGGGGAAAGATGGAGGAATAAAATAGATAATTTTAGATAATGGAAAGTGCGTGTGAGGAAATAGAGCAGAGTGCTGTGATGAAGAGTGACTAAAGAGGCCACTTTAGATCCCACGGTCAGGGAAGGTGACATTTGATCTGGGGCCCGAAGTAGCTGAGAGGAAGATTCAGAAGTGGTTAAGAGGAAGGAGCCTAGAAGGAGAGATTAGTGACAAAAAGATAGGGAAGAGGCCATGGAGCCTTGTCCTGGATGAGGCAGGAGGGATGAGAGTGTCAGATGCAAGGAAATTTCATCTTCAGAGAGAGAAAAGAAGAAAGAGGGAAGTATGAGAGTATTCATATTTAAAGATGTAGGTGGGAAGGCTGGAATTTGAAAGAGGTAAAATCTCAGAGACTCAGTTTTCTCAAGAAAATAGGGGCAAGTTCATCAGCTGAGAGGGAGAGGACCTGAGAAGAATAATGGGATTTTGGAATCCTGGTCAGGAATGGGAAAGTGAGCTGATGAGGATACGAAAGAGACTGACAGAAGCTACCGAGTGCTCAGGTGAGTCTGCAGACCCTGAATCTGCAGTGAAGCCAACGAGTATGGCTTTGTGTGTTTCACCCGCAGTGCTCAGCCTCTGCCCAGAAGCAGAGAAGAGCTATAGCGTCTATCCTGGATGAGAGTTTTGAAGGATAGAGATTTAAGAAAATGGAAGGTGATGATGACTTTAGCCCAGATGACCCACCCAGTGGGCATAGCTGGGCGGGAAGAGAGAGGAGGGATGGGGACTGAAGAGAGGAAGAACACACTTTCAAGGGACTGGAAACACAATTGAAAAGCAAGAGTGAAAACAAGAGAGAGCTGGAAGGAGAAGAAGTTACCATCAAACGACAGGACACGAGATAGGGACACATCACATAATAAAGTACATTAAGCAATCAGTTGCCTTTTAAAAAATCATCCTGGCATTTCTAGTTGGTTACAAGATTGTGGACAAGCATGAGAAATTTAGTTTTTCACTGTGACTAGGGACAGAAAGGAAGGTTAAAGTATTTCTTAATCCTCCATGTCTTTCAAATCAGCTTGCATCCTGAGGGCATTCTTTTTTATAACCTCACCCCTACCTGAGCCCTTATTGCACTTGTTTCTTTTTACTGTATAATTTTTTTGCATCATTATATTGTATATTATGTTTATTCATGAGATCCTGAATTTTGTTTGCATGCAGGAAAATGTTCATTACTTCTACATGTCTGCAAATGCTCAATAAATATTGTGATTTGGTTAAGTGGTAACGGCTCAGCCACTGAAGGTGTTAACATTAACATCTGTTCCACTAGATTTTTTGCCAGAATTAGGCATTTGATTTTAGTAATCTTCTTACCAAATGAAGCTGAACTGGAGAGAAAAGATTTGAACTTGATAACATGAGCATAAACAAAATGTTAATACTTGGATTCAGAGAAGGTATAAAAGAATGGAATTAGTCTTTCTCTCAAATACTAAACTATACAAAAGAGGAAACAAAACAATACCCCCAAATTAAACACACATTAAATGGAAAGAATGTTCTCTTTTAACTAGAGTCACAGAATATTAATGCTGAACTTGATTATTTAGTTAAACCTCCTCATTTTACATATAAGAAAACTGATATTCAGTAGAAGAGTGTCACTCATGTCCTACCAGTATGGAAAAGATGGTCTTATTTCTTTGAGTATTTCTCTTGGCACAGTACCTGGCTGTTCCCTTGAGCTTTATAATCCCAGACAATAATGGTCCTTTCTGTAGTGGCAACAATTCGTTTCAGCTGTGCGAGGTAGTCACATCCTGTAATCCAGGAGGTATCCTGATAGAAGCACAGAATTGGAGGGGGGTGTATATGTATTGTGTTTCGTTCTATCACATGGTGATAGTTACTAAAGAGCAGGTTAGTCACATTAAAATCCTATTTTTCCCTATTGTTTGCAGAGAAGCCTACAATGCCTCTTCTTTGGTATCTTGAGGAGAGGCTCTCATCCTCTCCTTGTCCCCTCACTCCAAGCTTCTCAGCACTGTCAGCTGGAGAACCATGATGCTTCCTGGTGCATAGCCGCTAGAGGAGCTGTTGGGCACCTTTGTGCACTGTTCACTCAAGTGAAGACACTTCCTCACAGAGAAACACAGGGAGACTGGATTAATCGAGTACTCAGGCCCTGTCTCCATGCTTAAGATTTTTAGCTAGAAACGACCTCAGTGATTACCTGGTCAATGATCGACTTGAGGCCAATTAGCTTGTCGTGCGTCTTGCCCTGAGTTGGCATGGGTAGGGTCAGTAAGAGCAAGATCGACACAGTACTGCACGAGAACAGCGCCCTCTTAGGAGGGCCGGCTGTGCCAGGAACTGCACGAGTGTTTCAGACACGCCCTTGAATCTTCAGTAAAAACCTATTAGAAGTTCTAACAGGTTTTTTTAAGTTTAAGAAACAAAGGCTCGGGGGCTTAAAGAGAAACCAGACTGCCTGGTGCCCGCCTTTGTGGTTCAGCGCACCTGCCACATGCAAGCAGCGGGAAAAGTTAAGCCTTCTCCTGGCTCTCATCAAACCTGGGTGGGATTCTGAGAGATAGCCACCGTACCGCTGCCGCAAGATTACTTTCCCAACTAGCAACACGGATTAAATTAACTACAAAATCGCACTCGAATTTTTATCTTGTTTCCAAGTTTAAAATAAAATGATTTCAAATTATTTCCTTGTTCTCACAATCTGGGTTGTGTCCATTTTTTACATTTCCCAGTAATGGTCGCTCGGAAGAATTCAGGAGAAGCTTTTATATTGAAGCTTCCAGGAGTAATCAGATTCCAAGCAATTCTCCGCGGTCAGTTTAACTCCAGAAAACAATATCTGGGTCCCCTTTGCTGTTGGGCGAGGTTTAGTTGCAGCCAATAAACGTAAATTAACAACCCATGAAAACATCTTATTCTCACAGCACTTCACTGAGACTGTGATTGGTTATGGAGGAACCATCGTCATAGCCCTAAATTTGACTTAATTAGGAATTTAAAAAATGTACTTACTGTAACATTGGTGCTGGTATGCACTCTCATCTATAGACAGAAGAAAGAGAACAATGAAATCTAGTTGGCATTACTGCTGAAGGTGAGAACGCTCTTGACACAGTAACTCCTTGGTTTAATCTCACTTGCCATTTTCACCTTCCACCAGTCTCTCCTCCCTGTTTCTCCTTCCTCTGAAGATTCTAGCTCTTTGGAATGTTGTTTGCTTTGGCCTAGGTTTCTGCTTTTGTGGCTTGTCTTTAAACCTGCTGACTGTGCTCTTAGAGTCTTATACTTTAATATTTTTGTTCCTTCTATTTGCAGACTGTCTCACATTCTTTAGTTATTCAGAGCAACATTTGGTATCAAAAACTGGGAGTGCAAAATAATACTAACAGCAATGGCAAGAGTAGTTAAAAGAATGTTAAATAGGTCAATATGAATATAAAGCGATGCAGGAAGAAACCATTTCTTCATTTGAAAGTGCTCTCTCAAGTAATTGAGAGAATTAAGAACATTCTATCCAGTGGGCTTCCTCTTTTATTCAGTATCCGTTGAATGAATATCATGCTCTGGGTAGTATGGTGGTTGAAGATCACAGATTGGTGCAGAACTATTATGTACATGGGCAGCCTTTTAGACCCTTAAGGCATGTTAATTGTTTAATCGAAGTGTATGAAATACCTGGTTTCTTTTGCATGCTCAAATGTCTAGGAAATGGCTGCCTGAAAGGAATGGATTATATGAAAAAGAAAAAATCAGGGTGAATGCTAAAATTATTAATTGAGGTCATTGCGATATGTCTTTCATCTGAAGAGTTCAAAAATACTTTCCAACCAGGAGCTTATTTCTAGATGGGAAGAAATGTACTAAGGAAATTCGTGAGTAGAGGACAGAACACCTGTGGTTTCTCCTCTTCAGTTTCTGAACCTCCATCTTTAGTAGAAGTCACTAAAATTATCTTATTATCATTAAATCTTTCATAATCCTGATAGATATCTTGAATTTTTAAAATCTAGCCTTTTTTTCTCCAGGAATCTATGAATGACATTTACACTCCAGATTACCAAGTCCTCCAGAGAGCACCAAGATAATCCTTAAATATATTTATTTGACTTCAGATAGATAGAATCTAAATTATGGATTATCCTATTATAAGATATTTTGCATTGTTAATGACTATCTTTTAATAAATTATTGCTGTGACCTACCCTACCAAATTACTTTTCCCATAGAATTCATCATCCTATTTGTAAGGCATGCAACATTCAAAATACCATTTATTCCTGGTGTATCAAATCTTAAAATAATTGTTTAAGCAATGTATGTGTGTGAGAGAGAGACACACGTTTCTGGAAATATAATGCCACTTCATTTATTTCTCATAATCCTGAACTGTTTTATTATAAAGATTATTATTTTTCATCTCACATTTTTCTTTAGATACCATCTTAATTCTATTTTTGAGGAAAAGGTAAAAAAGGAGAAGGGAAATAATGTATTGAAAAAAAGATTGAGGAAAATTTTCTCATTTTGGTTTTATATTATTTGTTCGTAATCCTAATTGCTAACATTTGCTGAGTGCTTACAGTGATGCTAAACACATTATATTAACTCATTTAATCAACAAAACTACCTAGGGAGGGAAGTTTTCTGGGTCTGAATGAGGAGGAACTCAGGCATGGAGGTAAATAATACACAGCTGGGCAAGGACCCAGGCTCCACACCTACGCTCAGAATCTTCCATTCCATCGCCTCCAAGTGCAGGCGGGCCTCTCCTGACAGAATCTGGGGGCCCGTAATGAAGATCACTGAGGAGCTGAAAATTGTTGTTGAAATTTTAACAACATTATTGCCTCTAGTTGAAAATAAACTAGCAATTGAAATTATTTTTTATATTTAATACCATTCACCTATTTTCATATTAAAATACAATGTAAACTATATCATCAGACATTTCATTAAACTCTCATGTTTTAAAAATAGAAGTCCAAAACTTATAAATTTAGAAAGAAATAACATTACTAAGAGCAATGCCTTACATTTATATAGGAATTTATTGTTCATAAAGTGCTTCTGCATTCATTATCTCATTTGACCTTCAATACAACCCTCTGAGGGAGAAAGGACTGGTCCTATTGTCCACATTTTACAGATGTAAGAAAAGAGATGTGAAAAGATACGTTGGCTCATGAAGTTTTCCACTTAACATCATCGCTAGTAAAATAAAGAGCCTAGAATTTGAGCCATTTTCTTACTCCAAGTCTAAGGTCTTTGTTTGGATTCTTTATTACTTAGTAGGATTATGACAAGATTACTTGGCTTGTGAGATATTTCGATTTTATCTGAGAAATCATCCAGGATCATCCTTTAATTTTTCTGATGCCATGTGGTTCAACAAGACACCCTGAGAAACAATGCTGAATACAGTTATAAAAATCTCAAAAACTTTTCTGGGGCTCAGCAATCTCCTCATTTTGGCCATATTTGGTTTCGTTTTTTTAGAATAACTCTGAAATATGGTTTATGGTTTCTGCTGCACCTGATACATATGCATAATATATAGTCAAAACAAAAGAGAGGAAGGAAGGAAGGAAGGAAGGAAGGAAGAAGGAAGGAAGGAAGGAAGGAAGGAAGGAAGGAAGGAGAGGAGAGGAGTCCAAGATCAAATTACCTGGCTATTAAAGACGGTTATTAATCCTTTCTGAGAAGCTGCTATCAGTAAATCCAACTGAGGAATCTTGACAATGCACTTAATAACATCTCGTCTTCTGCTACCTGTCAATGATATAATATTTAGTTCAACTCCCAGCAGTAGGATCCTAAAAGTCACTTGTTAGATTTGTTTAAAAAAGAAAACAACCAACTTTCCCCTAGAAAAGTCCTAGTTATTTAAAAATTAATGCAGAATAAAACCATAAAAATGAGCAAATGTGGCTTTTTAATTATCCCTAGAGATACTAATCTGTCTCTGTAGCACTTTCCAACTAAATGTGGTGTATGCGCTCCCAAGAAAACATAAGATACACCCCCGCGCGCGCGCGCGCGCGCACACACACACACACACACACATGCACATTTCAGAGGATGTTTTTCAAACATCTTTTAGAATCATTTTTATTTTGAGATTTTGCATACCTCAGGAATCTTTCCTTGAACTGTCACCATTATGGTTTACACAGAACTAAAACCTAATACTTTCTCAGTCTTTCTAGTATAAAAGTAGGAAACTATCTTATAATTATTATTAAGGATTTTTTTTAACTTTGTGAATTCTGAGAAAAACACTAGACATTTTCAAGTTTTATTGCCTCTGTGCTGAATGATAAAGTCACACATATTGGGTCTCTTTGCAGGGTGATTTGGTTTTTATAATTATAAACTCTTAGAGAGAAAAAGCAGAAAACAATCTCATACTTTAGTTGCATCACTCTAATTCATGTATTCTCAACAGAAAAAACACTGCCCCCAATAAGGTGCAAATCCGTTCTTGAGGGGTGTGTGAATGAGTCTGACTCTTATTGTGCATAATACTCAAATATACATATAGTACAAAAACAGATACACACTAGATCTGAGGTATTAAAATGTCATGAGCAGGGCCAATAATTGGAAAAAAATGTCTAAAAGGCTCCTTAGGAGATCAATAATGAAACCAAGGCTAAGAACACTATCCTATTCCAAGTCACCTCCATTCTCTCTGCTTCCACTCCTTCCTTACTAGAGACTATTTTCAACACAAGAGCCAGAATAAACATTTAAAGTATGAGGGTGAAAATGGCAGAGTAAGTAAATGCTGTGCTCACTTTATCTCATGACCACATCAAAATCACAACTAAACTACAGTGCAACAATCATTGAGAATCACCTGAAGTCTAGCTCAACAAAAGTTCTATAACTGGTGACATACAGAAGAAGCCACCTTGAGACTAGTAGGAGATGTGGAACACGGACTGGGCTGTTTCCACACTCACATGTGATAATTGAGAATTGGGAGAGATATCTCAGCTGCAGAAGTCCTCTCAGAGAAGTGAGGGATCCCAGCTCCACACCAGGCTCCTCAGCCTAGGGTTCCAGCGCCAGGAAAAAATGTTCCCACAACTACTGGCTGTGAAAACCAGTGGAGATTATGGCTGAGTAAAACAGAGAAGGGCTGGAGTTGCAGACATTCCTTTTAAAGGACCTGCACATACACTTACTGACAGACTCACTCACTCTGAGCTCCAGCTCTGGAGCAGCTACACCGGAGGCACCAGGGACAATCAGAACAGCAAAAAAAAAAAAAAAGAAAGAAAAAAAAAAGAAAAAGAAAAAGAAAAAAAAGAAAAAAGAAAGAAAGAAAAAGAATACAAAAAATAAGGATAGCATAAGGGGCTTCTGGGAAAACATCAAGCATACCAACATTTGCATCATATGGGTACCATGAAGAGAAGAGATAGAGCAGGGAATTGAAAACCTATTTCAAGAAATAATGACTGAAAACTTTCCTAGCCAAATGAAGGAAATAAACATACAAATCCAGGAAGCACAGAGAGTCCTAAACAACATGAACCCAAAGAGGCCCACACCAAGACATATTATAATTGCTCTCTTACCAACTCCAGGTCTTTTATCACCTTCCCAGTGCAGTCTGCTATGACCTCTCTAATTAAATCGTTTGTTCACTGCTGTGTCCTTAGCACTTAGAAAGCTACCTGGCCCACATGGTAGACCTTAATAAATGTTTGTTGAGTGAATAAATAAACTACAGAACCCAACTGCCATCTAGAAAGATGTTTCCAATGTTCTAACTTGGGATACCAGCAACATGTGTCCCCTGCTCACTGGCCCCTCTTCAGCTTAGTAGTGGTGGCAGAAAGGACAGCCCCCTTGCTTCTGTTTTGTGATGAGAGCTCCCATGGCCAGAGATTGAGCTTTGGTGAGTCCTAAGGTTGGGCTAAGGAAAGGTCAAAGACAAGGGTAGGTTTGGTTTACAATGACTGAAGTAAGCTCAGGTGCTTTTTTTAAAGAAAGACAAGATTCAACCTAGACTAGGCACTTCATTTCAGATTTTGGGTTGAAATGCTGAAGAGCAAGGGCTGGTTCCAGGGCTTGCCTTTCTTCTTCCTGGACCTCTCCCTTCCTGGAGGGAGAAAAGGAAAGAAAACCTGCAGTGTCAACAGTAGAAGAAGACTGGAGTTCCTGGCCCCAAGAGTAAATTTAAAAATAACTGACATGTAAACTGGAGACTTCCTAAACTGAGATAACACCCCTCTGTGGCCTAAACGCAGTTTTACATGTAGGGTTAAATCTCCATGAGATAATTGAGAATGAGAGTGTGGGAAGGAGTTCTAATCAGCGAAAACTTGAAAATTCAATTTTAAGAATATTTCAAAAGAAATGTGACTCCATTTGGTACTGGAACGTGCATTACTGAGGTGTAGAGAGCTTTAACTGGAGATCTGAGCCTCCTCAGTACAATGTGATTCTCCCCTCGCCACTCCCCAAACACACACACACATTCCCTACTTAGTGTCCTTCAGAGCAATGATAATATTTCAAACTCAACTGCAGGTACAGTTTCTTCCGATATTACATATGAAACTGTCACACTCACACACCCCACCCCCAGTTATAAAGTATTTAGCAAGTAAATAAAATAAGAAGTGATTCTATGGAAATATTATATTCCCAATATTATATTTGAGAAAGTATTAAAATCCACATTCATTTGGAAGGGAAATTAACAATATCACCTGAAATTACAACTCGCTGTTTTCTAGAAACAAGAAAAACCAAATTTTCTTCATCCAGCTGGGAAGCAAGAGAATCTTCTTCAGAGGAGAAATATCCAAAGATCTAAAATCCCAAACAACACATAATATCTCAGAATTGATTGTGAAGTAACAGATATGATGTTAGTTGGATTTAAAGTCTTGAATTAATGGTCAACATCTTGCTTTAAAAATATCAAGGGCTCCCCACATCAAGAGAAGGGAGTTTAATATATTCAACATACCATATGCTGACAGTGCATGATTTTTGAGCAGTCCCTGATTTTTCTTTCTGATGGAAGTACCGGGCTGGTATCCTTGCTCAGACTGATAGTTCTATTAGGAGTTGGAACTTGTTTTGAAATCAAATCGGCCTTCATCAGACAGGATCCCAGTTGAGACCCTTGACATTGAATTTGGCCACTCTCAAATTACTATTCCTGTCTATTTTCCATAAATCTTCCCGGGAAAGATTTTTCATCCCTCTTAAGGGGAGTTTTGGAATTTAAGTGACTCTACAGCTTTTCTATTTAACTGTTCCAAATTCTACTCTCAAGGCATTGCATGAAATTAAATTACTATGAAAAATTGTCCTGAAGAAAATCGCTCTTGATTTGTGAATAAATTATCAAATTATGTAATTCCAAGGAATTTGAAAAACAAGAGCTGTTCTTCAATTTTCTTATGAATAAGCAGAAGTAAAATTCTTATAAATCAATGATACAGTATTTATCATAAAGTTGAGACTAGCTGGTACTTGTTAATGAATAAACAGAATAGACTGTGGAATGCTTTTGAACCACTGGGAGTCCTGTGACAGTACACATTCTGCTCTGGTAGGCCTAGGGTGGGGCCTGGTATGTGGGGGGGTTTCTTCATTTCTAACAAGCTCCCAGGAAGGACCACACTTTGAGTGTAAGGGAGCAAATGACAAAATAACTCAACTGAAAATAAATCAAAACCAGCTACATAATGTTTTAATAATGTTTGTTTTAACGCTAGATGATGACTGAGCATTATATGTCGACATACGTCCCTTCAGTTGCTTTACATGTTACTACTTTTTCCTTTACACCCTCTACTTCCAAACCTCACAACAGACAATTCCTGCCGTATTCATTTCCCACAAATAGATTTCATTCAGCGAGAAGATCAGGATCATCCAGCAAAAGAAGTACTCAAAACACCTTACATCTTTTCAGAAATCATTGCTCATTTCCAATGAGTATAAAACTTCTGGATTTAGCATCTAATTCCTCTGAAGGACTGAGGAAAGAGAAAAAAGAGAGCTTCCAATAAACCTGTGTTGGAGAGGACAGAAATCTTTTGTCACTGCAGTGTCCTCGTCACCCCTCACGGATGCATTATCCAATTAATAGTCATGTATTGATCTACACCTTAGCATTGTTTTGTTTGAACTCACAATATGGCCCTATGGCAAAGGGCATGCAGTGTGGAATCAGACTGGCAGTGTTTGAGTTCAGGCTCCACAACTAATTAGTATTCAGAACTTGGACAAATACCTTCACCTCCTTAAGTCTCAATTTCCTCATGAGTAGAATAAAAGGACAAACTTCTGAGTTCTTAGAATGATCTTTAAATGAGATGACAGATGTAAAGTATTCCAGTAGATGGGTGGGCATCGCAATAAGCTGTTGTTGTGTGGAGCTTCACCCGGAAAGATTTGTATGCCTTCTCCGGCCAATCAGGACTGAGGGGGAAATTCAACCCCTTACCCCTCCTAATTCCTTAGGTCATTGTGGCTTTCACTTCCTTTCTTACTCAGTTTAGAATCGATGGTCTATCCTCTCAATCATAGATTTCCACAATCCTCCATCCCTTTACACTGCTGCTGGGTAAGTACAACTGCCTGTGTTCCTTGCACTCACACTACTGTGACTAATCAGCCACAGAGAAAATCTCCCGGCCCCATGGGTGGGGCCCCCAATCATCCACAGAAACTATGTCAGATCTCCACTCTTATCAAGCATGTGATCACACCTTTCTGTCACTCTCTCGGGGGCTGACCATACCTCCTACTTCAGAGGATGGTAGACGCCACAGTAGAAGATACAGTTTTTTAAAATTTTGACACTTTGCCATCTGTATTAATTTTCTATTACTACTTAAATTACCACAAACATGGTGACTTAAAACAACACCCATTTATAAGCTCACAGTTCCGTAGGTTAGAAGTCCAAAATAGGTCTCACTGGGCTAAAATCAAGATGTCAGTAGAGATGTGTTCTTTACTGAAGACTTGGGGGAGAATCTGCTTCCTGGTTCATTCAGCTCTTGGCCTGAGGCGCACGTCTACTCGCTGGCTGTCGGCTGAGCTGCCCTTCGCTCCTCGAGTCCTCTCTTCAGTCCAGTACATGGGCTCTACCTCTTGGCACCAGCAAAGGTGCTTCAATTCCTCCTCATGCTTGAAATCTCTTTTCTGTCTTCCTCTTCTGTTTTTAAGGACTCATGTGATTACACTGGACCCACCCAGTTAATTCACGATAATCTCTCTATTTTAAGGTCATTGATTAGACCTTAATTAAACCCTCACAAGTCTCTTCACAGTAGCACCTAAATTAGTGTTTAATTGAATAACCAGGAGACAGGAATCTTGGGAACACTTTAAAATTCTGCCTATCACATCTTCATTTTACAAATGCAAGTCAGTGCAATTTAAATTACTTGGGCAAAATACAACAAAAAAATTGATCAATGTTAGCAGCCAATTTAACCTCAGATAATAGTGAGAGATAATGTATTTCACAAAATGTGAAATGATGATGGGAGTGACAATTATTTCTGTGCTAATGAATACCAGTTTCTCAAGGGTGGGAGAATGCCACTCCATATGTGTTGTCACCTAATTGGAAATAATGTCTTATATTTCTATGTTACCTATATTTACAAAGCACTTTACAGTCATTTAACTATATTTGTAATTTTGGTGTGGTTTTTATGAAGCTAGTGACACAGAATTAAATGTCAGAACAGATGTGAAAGAAGAAACATTAAATAATTAAAATTTCTCAAGGAAAAATTTAAGAGCTATTATACCAGATAAACTCTTCAGAAGAGACAGCTAAAGTTTTACATTTTGAAAGGAAATGTTTCAATCAAATAATGTCTTTAAACATTTCCTATAATGGGCTATATAGCCTCAAGAATCTCAGATTTCTCTTTCAACAGTTTAAATTTCAGTCTAGTAATTATACCTGTGACATGCTTGGAGTGTTTTATTACTATTAATAAGCATTAAAGTATTATTTTTTAACTATGTTATTTAAAGGGCTTGCTCCATCCTTTAAATGATTCATTTTTTAACTACACTTTTTTTTTTTCTAATTATATAAGGAACACATGTTCAATGTGGAACATTTGGAGAAAATGAAGAGCAGAGAGAAGAAATTAAAAACCTGTGTGCAACTTATTTTTTAACCTACCCTGAAGCATTCTTTTAACATTTTTGAAGTTAGCAAGTATAGTTTTAGATTCATAATAATTCACTTGATATTCACTTCTGGGGGCACAGAGTTATTGGCCTCCCCTATGGTGTTGTATGTCTCTTCTTTGAATTAATTCTAGTGGTTTTGAATCGCCTGTTGGAAACATAGATTAACATGGTATTGTGGGGAAAGTAGATAGTATCTGGACCAGAATCTTCCACTAACTAGCTTTATAATTTTAAGACAATCACATTTCTTTGGATCTCTTTACACCTAACTTTTCTTATAAATTAAAGGGGAATGTCTGGATGATGTTTTAGTTGAGTTTTAAGTTTTCATTATTCTATAAATATCAATTTTTCCCAGTGCGTTTGCATCTAAAATCTAGAAAAAGAAAGTGCACCATTTTGTGGCATTGCTGTAATAGAGATTTATATTCAGAATCAGGTTTGAGCCTGACCTTAAAAGAGTAACCCAGTTCTTACTAGCTGATAAGATTAATATTGGCTGATAAAAAGCAGGTAATCTCAATTGAAATGAAGTCAGTCTTTCAGCATTGTATTTCTATTTTATAGATGACAGATATGAAACTCAGAAAGGTTAGGTCACACAGATTGAAATATGAATGCCTCTTAGGAGCAACAGCACAGAGTTTGTGAGGAAAATGGAAGAACAATAGAAGAGGAACCTTCCTGTGCACCATATTTTCAAACCTCAGGTTGTTCTTCAAATACATACAGTGCATCAGAGGCTATTCTATTAAACTTGCATATGATTTACAAGAATCCAAGGGATGTAACATGAAATTGTTAATGTCATGAAATTGCTGGATAGGGAGGGAGAAAGTCTCAGCTCCAAGACCAAAACTAATATTGTGTGTGGCTTTGGATAAGTCATTAACCTTTCTGTGTTTCATTTTCATCATTTTTATTATTGCAATAACATTGTCTTCTATAATCTATATCAAGGATCTGTTGTAAAAATTAAAAGAGAATACGAAAGGGAGATGTTTGGAAGAAAAAGTAAACTGATTATGATGTTTTAACTGAAAAGTGAAAGAGAAGGAAAAAAGGGAGTAGACAAGGGAAAAATGAGGCTCAATTTCCTAATCTACACAACAAAAACATCTGGGTTTACTATACAATTATTATTTTTTTAGGTGAGGCAACCCTTAGTTGAACTCACAGATTGCAAAGACCTTGTCAGTTTACAATCCCTTGTTTATTTATTTATTTATTTATTTACGCCTACAGCATCTGGTCTTCCTAGGTGGTCTCCCATCCAAGTACTAACCAGGCCCGACTCTGCTTATCTTCTGAGATCAGTCGGGATTGGGCTTGCTCAGAGTAGCATGGCTGTAGACTGGGTTTACTTTAGATTAGGATTTTTTTTTTTTTTTTTAGCAAGGAAGTGTTTTATTTATTCACAACAAAAACATAACATAAATCTCTCTCCTCGAAACAGACAACTCTATAATATTCACAGAGGCCTAATTCTCGGTTAATATAGAACTTCATGTAAATGGATTTACCAGAGTATTGTGACTCCCGTGTTGGTATTTTGGGACATTTTTTGAGCATTGCTTTCCTAGATCTATGTATATTTTATAATGTAAATAGACTTCTATCATTTCCTGAAA